ATATTGGTTTTGAAGATATTATGTTCATTTTTGAAACCTTATAGTTTTCAGTCAAGTTGTTAAAATCACAAATCTGCAACAGGTTCTAGGACAGAGAGAAATATTAATGTTTTATCAATAATAAAAGCATATTTCATACAAACCAAAGGTGCACATATCCCCTTTACCTAATGTAAAGTAAAATGATTAAATTAAAACTTAAATGCTACTCTAAATAAAGAAACCTATGCACAGGAATTAAAGAGGGAAAAATCCTCAGTGACTCCCTACTGTGCACTTGTCAGTGAAATGAGATGAAAATAAGCAGCTCAGGACTGCCGAGCTCAATAGCTCAATAGCTGAACAGGTTATAAGACTAGAAAGAGGATGGAGGCTGGGGTAAGATCCCAAGACACTCCTCCATTTTCAGATGAACAATCTGTATCAATCACCATGATTACACACAAATATGAACTCCTGTATTTAAAAACTTAATTAGAATCTTAAAAAAATATATCACTTTCCTGCATAATCACTAATTTAAGAAATGACAATATTTTATGTTTGATTACTATACACTGAATACAAAATGATACAGCAGAACTTTGGCATTAAAAACTCCTTGAGAAAAGAGGTTGATCATAAGCCTGAAAAACATGTGACGGATGTTTTTTTGTAAATGAAAGATTAAGATTTAGATAGCATTCAAGCCTGTGCAAAGACCTTACAGCTGACGTTTAATGTAAACAAGTTAAGAGTATTACATGCAGGTAGCAAAAACAAACTAAAGGTGTAAATATAGGGCATCACTGAGCTAGAAGGTACTGCATACAAAAAAGGCATTTAAAAGAATATGGCTGAGGAATAAAAAGACAATGTTAGGATATAAGGTTAACATATAAGACTAAAAAAATTGAAATCAAGAAATTCTATTTTATTATTGTACAATGTGCTAGGAAGACCCCATTCAGAATATTGTGTACACATTTTGGCACCATGTAGTATAAAGGATATTTCTACTCTGGAATCAGGTCAGATGGGAGCAACCAGATACATTCCTGGGCTTAAAAGAGTTGATATTTTTGTTTTGCTTTGACCACAGAAAATTATGTGAAAGCTTGGTTCAAGTAATTTACTACACAAAGCAAATCCAATTTTCCGAATCAAAACTGTAACACATACCAGAGGACGCAAGTGGAAACTATGGGAAAATGCATTTAAAACCGAGAATAGGAGGCATTTTGTTGCACAACGGGTTGTGGGAATTTCCAACAAGCTACCCAGCAATGTTGCTGAAGCTGATACCCTTATTTGATGAAAGGGGTGAATCGGATGCTCAGATTAATTAGCTGCAAACAACCAAACACGCAAGATGAGCTCAATGGCTTACTCTGTTTTTAAATCTTTGTGGGATTCATTATTTTCTTAAAGGTTAGGTAATATACATTTTTACAGTCTGAAAAGATTTGTAATGCTGTTTTGCAGAAGAAAGTGCTGAATTTAGTCACTTTGCATCTTTAGCACTTCTAGCCATTGTGCTTATCATTTCCTTCATTCACGGTACGGAAGCCTGTTTACAGAAACGAGAGCAGGGTCAGAGGAAGAAACCACGGAGCTGTTGTTGAAAACGATTGTTGGATAAAAATTTCGTTTCTGAAAACAAAGTTTGGGCAGAAAGAAAAATAAATGCACAAATGAGATGGTACAGTTGACGTGATTACTTAATAGCACTTTGATAATACTTTATGGGTCACAAATGGTTCTAAAACCATATCAATTAAAAATATATAGTTGAATAACAAATAAGATAATAAGCAACTTCAAATGGTTAGAGATATTTATTTGTATTAGAGATATGTATTGTATATGCATTGTAGTTAACCCTCTGACACATCATTAGTAACACTGTAATGCTCACTGTTCAGAACCAGAGACCTAAATTAAAGTGTGACCCATTATTTCAGTTTGAGTCAAGTGTTATTAATAACAAATAAAAATGAAAAAAAAATGAAAGTCATAAACTGACTTTTATGCCTGTTCACAAAATATGATTAAATCTTCTCTCAAGACTGAAATATAGTGCCTTCCATAAGTATTAGAACAGTGAAATCAAAATAGCTAGTTTTGCTGTATAATCAAGCAATGTAAGTTTGAAATGTTAAGATGAGTATAAGGCAAAAGTACAAAATATCACCTTTTATTTCTGTATATTTCTGCATGCATATGCTGTAATGTTCTAGAATGGTGGTTCTCAAAGTTTTTCGATGACGGAACCCTTTATCTGTCGAAGCTAATGTCGCGGATCACATGAGACTAGCAGCCACCTCACCCTGCAACTCACAACTGGCAACCACTGAAACTATGCATGGCTGAGCCTGGTCAGTACCTGGATGGGAGACCTCCTGGGAAACATGAGGTTGCTGCTGGAAGAGGTGTTAGTGGGACCAGCAGGGGGGGGGGTCCTAATGCCCCAGTATAGTGGCAGGGACACTATACTGTAGTGGGCGCTGCCTTTTGAATGAGACGTTAAAACGAGTTCCTGACTCTGAGTGATCATTAAAGTTCCCCGGGCATTTTTAGAGAAGAGAAGCGAGTTATTCCAATGTCTGGGCCAAATTTCCCCCCTAAGCCCTTACTGTGGCCTCGAAATTGTCCCCATGTATGATTGGCTTGCACTTGCTCTGCGCTGGAGTGGCGCCCTGTCCAGGGTGTACCCTGCCTTGCGCTCGTTGCTTACCAGGTATGCTCCGGCTTCACTGCAACCCTCACCAGGAAAAGCGGAAGTGATAATGGATGGATTAATCACATGATAACCTGTCTACGATTAGCACCCCTACGGTTCAATAAAGCTTAATCACTGGAATACTCATTGAGAATTAAAGAATCAAAGTTCTAACCACCGGTTCGACCAAGTTAGAAGAAAACCAGAAGGTGGATGGAATTTTGTACATCGTTAACAAAGGAAAAAAAACTAATAGATTCATAGAACCAGATGACATTTTCTGTGGTCTAACCAGGCGCGAATAGGAAAAGTTGGTAGCAAAATGACTAAGTAAAACACAGTGAGACGACAATACATGAGGTTTTTTTAAAAAGAGTACTGATCATTTTTAATCAACATTTACTTCAAACCAACAGAAACAGAACAATCTCAGTATGCTGAGCGAGTTTGCCTCTTACTTATACAATTTTTTTTTTTATATTTGGAGTTATGGATGCGAGTTGCAGTCTCATGTTTGACTCTGCATCCAGTCTGTTGCGATACTTCGTTTTTGTGGACACGTAAGACGAAAATCCGGTTTCACACAGGTGGTCACAAACGGGAGAAGAACAGAAAGTGTTTCTTATTTCTCTAATAATACTGGATATTCGTTTTTGGTGCTGCACCAAAACTATGCCAACTGCACTTCAATAAAAGCTGTAAGGAAGAGTCTGTAATCAGGTCAATGAACTTCTCATATTCTTGTGACATGAAGTCTCCAAGTTTTTTTACTGTTTTGCACATTTTTTCTTTTTCCCCTCGTGGTTGCATTAATTTCTAAGCGATCCTACTACCTAGTAACATGCTGTATTCTCTCATTGCGAGAGATTTTGAGATTTTTTTGATTTTTATCTCCAAACAAGATAGAAGCGCAGATGGAAGAAGAAATTTCAACACCTTTGAGGTACCTTCTGGCTCCAGCAGCAAAAGTACAGAAATGTTTTCAGAGAGTGAATTTGAAGATGATGTTTCAGAAGATATGCCTAATTTTCCTGACTTCTTGGAGCCATGCAAAGCCATCCTAACTCACCTTTTTTATTGATAGTAAATTTTTATTTTTCTTGTAGCCGAAGTGAGAGCTCATGGAAACCCTGTGGGCGTCCTGCGGAACCCTTAGGACACCGTTTGAGAACCACTGTTCTAGAACAATACCAATTTTTGTGTTTCATTCCTCCTTTTTAGGTGAGCATAAGTACTGGAAAATTAGCTTCAATTAAAGTAGTATAAAACTTAGTATTTGGTTGCAAAGCCTTTGCATGCAATTACTACATTAAGCCTGTGACCCATTGATATCACCAAACTCTTGGTTTGTTCTTTTGAGCTGCTTTGTCAAGCCTTTGCTGCGGCTATTTTCAGTTGCTGTTTGTTTTGAGGGGGTTCTGGTTTCAGTCTTCTTTTCAGCAAGTGAAATATTACGAATCTCTTTAAATGTAACAACTTCTCACAAGGACAAACCACAATGACACCGTTTTTATCTTTGATCCTGCAAGATCTGAAACTAACGATAACAGACAGAAATAAACTAAATACAGTACAACACAATTAAACATGAACAAGATAGAGTAATTTTATAAATATAAATTATAATCATTTTAATATTTCAAAAGGGCTTCAAGGATATTTTTTAAAATTCAGATAGAATTAGATGTATTAGTCCTAATACTAATACGCTTTCCATAAATTATTTATTCTAAAAACATACATTAATGTTGCAGTTGTAACTCAATTTCCTGTACTTTTAACTACTTCCTTCTACACTACTGTCCTGCTGTATATATTGTAACTGCAGCAAACACTAAAACATGCTATACTTGTATATTTAAAATAAATATACTATTTTTTAAAATATACTTTCTTATTGTGACACTTACAGTACAATAACAATTAATAATAATAGCAAATATATGTTCCAGTACTCAATTCTTGCATTTTAATGCTGCTCAGTATATATTCCACAAAAGTAACTGTAAAAAACGCAACATTACTAAACAATACTACAATACTAAACATTTGTTTGAGCTTTCTATTAATCAGTAGTTAGAATTACATTTAACCTTAAAAATATATAATAAAAAACTTTAGCAATGTTTTTCATAGAAACAATTTACAGCAGTCTCCTGGTGTGCCTCTTCTATTAAAATTACCATATATACTGTAGATCTAAAAATGATGGTTACTGTACAGATATACCTAAGGAGATAACACAGGCTTAGTTATTAATAGCTGGGATAAAGCAAAAAAGTTTAAGCAGTCTGCATACCTTGAACAACCAGTGGACTGCCTGGCACAAAAAACTGCTGGGTTCCATCCCCTGACTGTGTGGCATACTGCACAATAGTAGCACCAGGTTGTGGCGTTCCTGAATTTGTCATAGTCAAAGTCTGTAGTCCCTGGATGCCATCGCTTCCTGGACTGGCAATATGGATTGGTCCCCCTTGGGCAATAGCAACTGAAAAAAAAAAAAACAGATTAAGAACCATCTCCTTTTTAGTAATGCAAAACTATTGAGAAAAAAAAACACTTGATTGACCTCATGATTAATCTGACAGAGCTTTAACCAATGGGCAGATTTTTCAAACTGTTAGTGTTTACTTATTATATTTTGATGGAATATGGTGGTTATATAATTGGTGTTTGCACCAAATCAAATTTGACTTTCTGGTGCAACTCGTCCTACTCCAAAATGAGCTATTCATCATTTGACACATTGAAAGCTTCACAGTGCCTTTTAGGGGAGTAAGTGCTGAATGGGGGGGCACCAGTTCTCTCACTGAAATTGCTGCAAGTTGATGGGTGACTTTCAAGCCCCATGAGTCACTGCTGTGTGCAAACAAGAAATTTCTTGATCGACTAGCCAACTGCTTTTAAACCCTGTCTTGAGACACTGTCTGTTGTTTTCCAATCCATTTGGGCCTGTATTACCAGTGCTAATTGGTGCTTGTACTTGATATGCTTGCTTATTTAAACTTTTGTTTCTGCACTCAGCATTTTATTTCAGAACTACTCTAGCTCAAGTATATTATTCCTTCAGTATCTGAAGGAATACATCTTTATGCAATATCTCCTCAGTTGCTAATTAAGAATGTGTTCTATTAATCTGACTAAAAAGCTCTTAACAGTTTCTGATGAACAGACACAGGTAGGAATGACAATGAATCAAACTAGGACCAGCAGGTCCAGGACTGAGAACGACTTCTTAAGCCCACAAAAACCCAGCAGTGCAGACCCAACTGTGTGCCATCACTTGGAGAATCTTGGACGCAATCAGGTAATATTATAGCCCTTTTCAGCACCAGCAATGTCTGAATTAAATGGTCAACCTGCACTCTGAGTGAGTGCATCCATAGGCAAATTAAGTTTCTATTACTAAAACTTTGAACAATTCCAAATATCCTGGCTATGGATGCTGATGAATGCTCACTCTTGTGCAAACTACTCAATGACACTGTGCATAAAACCTACTACTATACAGCAAAGAATTACCCAGAGTGTGTCAAACTCAATGAAATGACACTAAACTGAATTTTGTAATGTACTATTATCATTACTTATCATAGCTGGGACGTACTGTATTGACCAGTGCTGGTCTGATAGATAGAAGTTGGCACTGGTTGAGGTACAACATTTGAAGGTGTTCCCTCCTCTTCAGACTTCTCTTCTTCAATTTTTGGAACAGCCGGTGAATCAGATGATAATTCATTAAGGATTTTTCTGGGAAAAAGAATAATTAGGTTATTCCATTGTGGAAATACCTTAAAACAGACAAGTAAAAACCATACAGGAGCACACAGAGGGGTTGAATGCATTTTTATTTGTTTCTCAGTGTCTCTGGCCTTTATCAAAAAAATGTTCCTGTAACAAAGGTAGGAGCTTAATCTAAATTTTATAAAGAATAAAGGCTGCAAATGCTACCCCTGAGAGTCTCAGTGTCTTGTTTTTTAACTGAATCAATCCAATATAATTATTCAAGGTCATCAGAAAAACACAAGCTTATGAACAACAGGAAGCCATTCAGCCTGTCAGGTTTGTTTAGCTGCTAGTGACAAATACACAAATCTCATCTATAGAGTTTTCTTATATGAAACCTGGGTATCAGCTCCACATGGCTGAGAAGCACCTTCTAGGCTCAGTAGGCTACCAAAACCCTTAAATGTTTCCACACTTTTAGTTTTAGGACTGCAACCCTCCAAAGTCAGGCTTCAAGATGACTGAGGGATATGGTCATTTTACACTTTTCACGTATTAATTGCATTGCTTGATTATGGGCAGAACATTAACAGGTCTTTCCCACCTGTAAGATGGTCGCCTGGAAAGAAGTTCTCTCCTTTTTTGTGAGTCTGTGACACCTTCTGTTGTTTCTCCATCATCGGATTCTGCTATTGCCGCTACCTGAAAAAGTGTACAAGTATGATTAAGTCATAAAAACTAACATTCCATATTTAAATTTACCCTAATAACAGGCATCTATAAACCACAAGAAGACTCCAGAGCCGAAACGTTATATTTCCTTTCTTCTCTTTTCAGCATGGAATAAACCTTTTATTTGTTCCTTGGCATCTTTAAAAGAATAAAAGGTAAAATAAAAAACAAAAAAAATAAAATTCCTTAAATTGTCATTGTCCTTAAATTGCTCCATAAACTCCAGGACAAATGAAGACAGGCTTTCCGGTTACCCCTTAAAATGAAATGAACACATAAATTATATATATTCTATGATGATTACTGATGTCTCATTGCTTTGCATTACAAAAGCGATTCTCTCATTGGCTGTTTCCTTTTACTCAAAACTGACCAAAGTAAAATAAAATAAAGGATAATTACCATTTGTAATGTGACTAGAAGAGAAATTGCTAATTGTAATGTTCTATTGACTTCTTGAAAACATATTACATGTTTGTACATGTACAGTATATAAATATACAGAACATATATCTACATGACTAGAAAAATATTCAACGTTTTGGTGGGGTTCTGGGGTTCTTGTGTGAGGTGAGAGAATAATCTCTTAATTTCTATAAAATGTCCTTACAACTTCCTTCAACACCATCATACAAATAACATGGAACTTTAAAAGTGCATAATTAACAGAAATGCTTTTTACAATTCAACTTGAAAGTTGAGGTTCATTCCAAGCTGAAAAGCTGAACAAAATAAGAAAATCACAACATCACATCATTCTCGGTGTAGAATTTGCCTACTCATGTTCCTTCAAAGACTGCATGCTGATGTAACTCCAAATTCAAGCCTCGAACCCACTCAGTGAAAGGCCCAATGAAAAGGGCTAGAGAAATCAAGTTAACCATAAAATAACTATAGGGTTTTGTTATGGAGTGTCTCAAAAACAGGGTGAACACATTATTACCTCTATGGGTTTTAGCCATTAAGTATAGCTTAGCATCAACTAACTTTTGATTACTTTAAACTTGGTATAAAACCTAATCTAAAAATACTTCCATGTGGTGTATTGTTCCAAGTAGTGTAAAGAATAAAATAGGTACATTACAGCTTTTCATTTAAACTAAAATATAGTGAGGCTTATGAAATATGCAGTACACAGTTTTTTAATTTGTTTCCTAATAATATGTACATATATATCATGTGCAGTATATTTTTTTTGTTTTATGCACATTTTGGTAATGGACAACATTCTTTATGTTTTAATTTTTGAATTAATCTTTAATCTTGCAAATAAGGAATACATTATATATAATCTAACATGGAAGGCTATGATGGCCAGAAACTTACTCTTCATGAAGCAAGAGATAAGTCCGCTTAAGATTATATCTGTAAACATTTAAAATGAAAAAGGAAAGCCACAGCAAGCTGTTAGTATGGTTCTTGAAGATGTGAAAGGCTTGTAAAGACCTGAAGATTTGAAAGAAGACATATAAATGAGTATGTAATGTTGTTTTGTGTAAAATACTGAAAATTGTTTACAGTAAATAGTTGGCATTCAGAGAACAAAACAAATCCTAGATTTCTGAAGGTTAAACTGATTAGCTTAAATCCTAAATCCACAGATCCCATTAAGACATGCCCAACTGTAAAACAGGTGACTCAGATCAGTTCAATTATTCCACTGAAACTACTTCTACACTATCTGGGGTTCATTTGTGTAGTAATCTACTACTTTTAAATCCCAGAAAATGACAGATTTTGACTTGAATTATCCAGAGAAAAGTGATTCTGTTTATTAGACACAGACACAGTTTTGAAAATCCTAATATCTATCATTAGTAAAAGATGAAACCCTAAAAAGAGGAACTTTCAATCAACAACTTCATAATTTGGTAATAGTTAAGAGAAGTGAGTTAGAACTTTGTAACTATTTTTCTGTTAGTAGCTTACCTGAACAGTCTGTATTTGTGGTGACTGAATTACAGAGGGCTGTGGTGCTTGGATAACTCCATGAACCTGAACTGTTTGACCACTGGGTAACTGAACCACAGTTACAGACGAAGACACTCCTGTCACTCCACTGCTTGTGACTGTAGCCTGGACCAAAAAATAACAACCAAAAATGTTTTGTTACCTACTCATTTTATAATGAAGTTCAGTTTTCTTCTAAAACAGAATCACTTTAAACCTAAACACCATTGGTGTATATATTTCCAAATGTTTTAAATGTCTGCTTTTCTTCAATATCTTACATTAATTCACTAATTGGCCAAAATATCTTGTAATGGATGTATTTAAATGTCTTTTAATTTCTATTATCAGCAAAGATCCTCAGCGGTGCTTCTTAGCTCTTGCCACTTCAGCTGTTTCACAATCACCACAGAAGTGCTCTTTAAAAATGACTGTCAAAGCAGCAAGGCAGTTAGCTCACAGCAGATGGTTCTTGCGACTTGGACGCCTTCTGTGTGGAGTATTTTCCCCATGTGCACATAGTTTTTCTCCAGGTGTCCTAGTTTCCTCCCACTTTCCAGGTTTGTTCAGTTAGTGTCTCTTACTTGTGCCTATGTCCTTTGCACTGGATTGATATTGTTTCCCATCCTTTGGTCCCACTTGTGTTGTTTGTTTCTGGGATACTAGCCTGATATCATGCAGCATCATCCACATGCAGGAAATTTAATTTGTACAAGCTTAATTTCGACAGGTTTTTTTTCAAACCAGTTTATGCAGTTTGGATGCATTCAAAAATCATTACAATGCCCTTGAAATGCAGTGCCTATCTTCTTAACATTGCATAATACGCTTGGACAAAACTATCTTCAGCCAGGAATTTTTCTAGCCTTTGTTATACTAGGAGCCTCCTGGAGACTTTCTTCAAATAGTCGAACCAAGTCGGCTGATTTGGTTCCATAAAAAACATAAAAACCATCTGTTAAATACTGCTGGAATATTGTTATTCAACACGAGAACAAACAATGGCCTGGTGGAAACTTCCAAATCTTTTACACTGCATCACAGTGTACACAACTGTAAAGGACTTAAATGTTCCCTAAGATCAGGAATCATTTTTAATGCTGTTTTTTTTTATGCCATTGATTTTGGCATAAAAAAAATTTTTGGCAAATTTTTCTAATTTAGCTGTATGATTTCCAAAACCTGTAACATATAACACGCATACAGTGTCCACTCTTTTATTATTGCTACCACGTCTTCAGTTCCCCAATCTGTATGCAATGCAAGAGCTGAAACATCCTAGCTGGGAGGCTAGGAATAACATCCCTCTTTTCCTTATGCAGGACTGAAAAAATAGCATGTTGGTAGTCATGTTTCTGTTATTCTTGTAATTTCATAGTTTCCTGTTAATAATAAAGTAGTCTCCAGTTTTCCATAGCATATGTTTACATTTAAAATTTAAACCATACAAGTCTGAAAAGGCTAGTTTACAATGAACAAAGCAGACAATGAACTTTTTTATATACACTGCATGGAATTCAGAAGGTAAATAAAGCTTTACTGCTATATGTCTTAAAAGTGTATTAATTTGTATTTTTTACCTGTCCAATGGTAGAGATTGGAGATTGGGTGGATCGGTTCTTGATTTGAACACCCTCGCCATCGGATACAGAGTCATTTACACTTCCATCCTGCTGAGAGTCAACCACAGTTTCCATGGTCATTGGACTAAAAGGAACACAAAAAATAACATTTTCTTATCTCTTCTAAATCTGAACTGCTTTGAACATTAAGTATATCCTAAACATTTTTTTTTTTATTCCCATGTATTCAAAATGAATGAGCTTTTCATCAACATGACTGATCAGGCATGCAAGATCCTTAGGAAGGTATTGTTGTAGCCAGACATTTACCAATATGTAACACTGTAGCAAGCAAAACTTAAAAAGGATTAAAACAAACATTCTTAAATGATTCAATAAATAATATTACACCTGTAGTAGTTTCATTTTAACATTTAAGTCTAGAACATTATCTGCAGGGGCAGAACTTTTAAAATTCTTCAGGGAATTATGTACCCAAGGACGTCTGGTAGCAACTCATGTTTCATACAAAACTCAAGGACTGACTCATGTTTCATACAAAATACAAAACTTCAGCTTGAAAAGTATTTTCATCACCACATGATCTCTCTTGAAACATTCACTGAACAATAAACAAAATGTGAGGACATTTCTGAAGGTATGCAGAAGAATTCTGAGGTATGCAGTATTCCTCTGAAGAGAGGCAACAATAAAAGCAGCAATACTGTACATAAAAGAACAAGAATCAGTTCCATTCAAAATTTTAAGCACAAATGTGCCTGCGGGATTTAGTCCTATTAAGTTGCAATAATTTGAAAGAAAACTGTTCTCTTTTGATGATGAATTCTGAATTACAAAACTGTAATGGTTAAACAGTGAACATAATTGCTTAATGAATTTATTGCCAGATGTTGTTTTCTACTCCTAAGAACACTGAATCACAGGTTTAAGTGGGAACAACTTCCTTTTGTCCAAAAGGGTTTAAATAAATAAGTCTATGTCATTACCTTAATCACTGAAACAATTGCCCTCTTTAAGATGTTTTGACTGCATTTTAACTTAAGCTTTTAAATGAGATTTTCTGGGAGGTATATTACTTCTTAATGGTTTCAAGCATCATAATGGCAGCCTCAGAATATAGCCCAAAACATCAGCAGTTTAAGATAACATTTGCTTGCTTAAATTAATTATTATTCTTCCTGCCTGAAACCATCTAAAAGTTAGTATGATTAAGCCATTTAAGATAATTTAAATTTAATAGAGAGCATCTATTTTTAAAAGAAAACCTCGAAAAAGAAGAATGGAACTAATTCCTGACCAGAAAATGTATGAAACTGCACAAGTGTGTCAAGCAACAATCTTGATTTATGTACAGTAGGAACATAACTGTTGACAATCTTAATTGCATTTGACCAGGAAAAATGGTTGCCACATACTGTATTGACAATAAACTCAACTATTTTTGAAGATAGGTCAAAATTGAGAAGACAGTAGCTAGTGAGCTGATTTATCTAGTACTATCTCCCTTGAAATGAAACAAAAGTGGCTTCCCAGAGGAAATCCTTTCAGTCCCATTAGTCTTCCTCACAACTTTAATGGTCCCTGGGGCTGGAAAAGTTTTTGCTAACAAAAACTCAACATATGAAAACTACCGTTACTCTTTTTCCAACTCATCACTAGCAACTACACAGATATACCATCCAGACAGCAATACTAATATGTACTATATTCTACACAGGGAACAGTGTTTGTCTTTCTGTAAAAAAAAAACTTGTAGATGGTTCTTTTGATTTACATGATCCTTTTTGGCTTTGTAATTGTTTTACAATTTTGTATTTTTTTTATTGTAATTTTGTGTCAAATAGTTCTCTGAAGTCTTTTTATTGGAATTCACTTGTACATTATTGAGGTGGAACCATTGCGCAGTGGTAAGCATTGCTACCTTGTAGCACGGGGGCCCAGGATACAATTCCTGGGGTCCTATCTGCATGGTTTGTATGTTTTCCTTGTGTTCACATGGGCTTCCAACAAGTGAGCCGGGGTCCTCCCACTGTCCAGACATACCATTAGGTTAACCAGCTTCTGAGAAAACTGGCCGTGGTGTGAATGTATATGCGTTTGTGTACGTGTGTGTGCCCTGCGATGGACTGGTGTCCCGTCCAGGGTGTAACCTGACTTGTGCCTGTTGTTTGCCAGGATAGGGTCCAGTTTCCCAGTGACCCCATATTGGATACAATGGTTAGAAAATGGACGGATAAATAGTAAATTATTCAAGTTAACAAGCAATTACTCTTTGATTTTGGAATGGTCTGAAACCCACATTTTGGAAGTTCTATAACCTTAAATCGGGAAGAGCCAGAACTCACCTTGTTTGAACATGTGGGCAGGACCAAACTGAAGGAAGGATGCAGGCTCTTCTGGAAGGCTCAAAGATAACTAGCAGGGAAGCACGCTACAGTGTGTGCAATATATCTCTTAATAAAACAGGCTTGAGAACAGTCAAGCAGATAAAGAAGCCAAGTAGAACTGCACAAAGGACAAAATTAGATTCTAAAGGGACTATCCAAAATCTACTTTATTCCTTTTTTGCTGAGTTTTTTAAACATATTGTTATAGAATGAAAAGCTTCATTTAAATTGTGTTCCTTCACCTTATCCTTCAGTCCCTCATTCCAATCCTGATCAAGCTCTGAAATGCTCAAGTAACCATTTTGAATTAGACTTTCCCCATTGTATTGGTGCTTGAATTTGGGATAAATTCTAATAGATTTTAAAGCCGCCATTTTGATTTTGAAATGTTTACATAATACATTGGTCATAGCATTTTGATGGATCTGCCCAACATTTCATTATATAAAAAAATATTAAATACTTTGTCTGGAGATAATAAACATCAGAGCATTCAACCATCAAAGAAGTGAAAGTTAGAAAAAAAAAGATACAATTACAGTGTTAGAAGCCTAATAATAATAATTCACTCAACAACTTACATAGTGCTTAGAAAAATATTGTTTCTGCCTATAAAGTTTTAATGACAAGTGCTCCAAGTTGGCATATACTGTATACGGCCAGCACAATCAATTAAAATGTATATTAATCATATAATCAAATGTTTTAATCATACTTTTTTACCCCTATCTTTCAGTTTTGGAATAAGCCCCATTTCTAGACTCATATGTTGTCCTTTCATAATACCCTGACCCTATTAAACTCTCACGTTATTAAAGCATCAATGTTATATTAACTCAGAAAATACAGGAGGGCGATACAATGGCCTCATAAGAGACATTGCTCAAACATAATTCTGTAAAACTAATCACTAAGATTTTAACGACATGCAAGCACTCAATTTCTTGGCCAAGAACATTTACTGTATCTGAAACCAATTTTTTTGCTGTTGCTGTATATTTAATCATATGATGCATGTTAAATAGAAAATAAATGACTAACTGCAAGAAAGTTTGACTTTGTAAAACAGCACACATATGTGTACCCCTCACAAATGGGGATACACCACCTTGCATTATAATTCCATTTAGAATTTAAAACATGATCATTAAATTCTACGCATTTTAAAGGATGTCTTATTCCATTAATAAGGATAGAGGTGTACAGAATTGGAACTTTCAAATGTTTTCAAAACGGACAAATTATGTAAACCATTTTCAAACACTCAAAGCCTCAGTCCTTTTAAGTTCAAAATAAAAGGTGTTGCAATCCTTCATACAGCCCTAATTATTTCTATTACTACAGACTTGCGACTCCCCTCTTCATTTTCTTACCCAACTCTCCATATTTACCTTTTCTGTCGTTTTATCAGGTCATTGTGACCAATAAATGTTTTATATTCAGATTTGAAGAATGTATATGATTTAAAGCAGGGACTTATAAAGAACTAGATTTCGAGGTTTTAATAAAAATAAACATTAAAAATACTAAAAAGGAGACTGAAATATTAGAAGATTCCTGGACAGTTCTTTGAGAATTTGTGACATATTGGAAACCTCCACCAAAGACACCTTATGTACATTGAGAGAACATTATACCGTATCTTCTTCAAAATATATATTTTGAATGAACAATGATGAAAAGAACTGAAAACAACCATTTTTAATGAATAATTTTTATTTTAAGGCCAGAAGAAAATATGTAACTTTGTTGACAACTACACAAGACTAACAATACACAACTAAGAAGCAGACTGTAAAATGTAGTTTATATTTCATGGCTCTGTATTAACAGTAACATGCAAAAGGTTAGACAATACACTGTAGCTAGGCATTCCAATAAGTGACAAAGCAAAGGATATTGCTCCTTTTACTCACACATGGTTGCAGTGGCAGCAGAAATATAACAGCAAGGCAGAATACTTTAGGTATCAAATTTGGAGGTTGGTGAGAGCTAAAGGTCAAATACTTTTGAGGTCTGTGTGAGAGAGTTTATCTTTATAACATCTTACCTATGCTTTAAATACAAAACACATCAAAATGTTGTCCTTTGGTTATACCTTTTGTGCGCATCAAATTGTTTTAAAAATGTTTTTTTTTCTATTTCAGAAATTGCAGACCAATATTATTTTTTCCAGCAGTGTAACATACTTGAAGTTACCAACAGCACACTTCATACAGTACACTGAAGATAATTTGTTATAACTTTCTTCCTAAATTCCTAACCTATACTATTATGAATGTATATTTCTAAAACATCTGTTTCTCACAGTTCAGACTGTATAAATTGCAACTTCTCTAAAATGTTTTGGGTGTTTCCAAGCAGAAACTCACTAGGTTAAACTTTTAAAATATTCTACTGGTTCAGACCAGACTAGAGACTAGAAACCTGAAAAGATGTACTGTTGCCTTAACAAATTTCCATCCCTGAAGGGATTTAGCTACATTGCAGTTACACTCCTGGGCTGACACAAGCAGTCAAAATATAATACCATGTTTGAGGAAACTGAGTTTTCTTAAACAAATATGCTTGGTTTCTTGTACATTTTAAACGACCATCCTCACCACACAAGCCAATCACAGTAATTAATCACAGTTAATTATTAAAAAATATTTTAATACAATTCACGTTTAATTCATGCTTATTTTAGCAATCTTAGCAAAACCGAGTGTTGCAAACACCACTTTATAAAAAGCAAAACCTCGCTATAATATATAATGGCATATAAATAATTAGATAATTGAACTGAACTCGGGTAATTGGGTTCAGTTGGTCAAAAAAAACTCACGGTTAAACCTATTATTCAGTGTGTTTAGCTTAATACAATTATTGCTAAATCATAACTGAATTACGTTCATGTTTAACGCAAGCGGTTTTGCTACCCTCCTCCACAGGCAGTAGAAAAACAACCATTAGAAAAAAACAATGCTGTGAGCAGGGCGTTGTCGGTTTTTGGACAGAAGGGAGGAGACAGGTTCTGCGCCATTTCTAGAACCTTCCTGCTCAGCAACGGACGCCATTTTAAATGAAAATATTTAAATTAAAATAACACATCCAACAGCGGATTTTTTTTAACTTATCAGGTCGCATTGTAACCCGAAAAACTGACTTAATCGGTTTCGATTTTTTTAAAAAAAATCTTTCCCGCCAAAGATACCTATAAGTCAATCATTTGCAATGAAAACCTAAAATCGTGACGTTGCGCGAAAAATATAAATGAAATAATGAATAATTGAATGCACATATCTAAACGTTATATGCGAAGTTAAAACATTAAATAAACTCTGCATTCGCACATACACTGCCACACAGAAACTATAAACGTCTTCGGCGGCATTTCAGTACACTTGAAGTTATTTTTAATTGGGTTTTATAACAATAAGTCGGAAGATATTTGGATATCCATCTGATTGACGGCACAGAGCCTCGGAACTGTATTTCTAATTACTATTTTCGGTTCAAGTCCCCCTCCTCTCTCCCCCCACACGCAGCGAGCACTGCTATCTAGCGATCCTGAGCTTATTGACTAAGACACATGAGATCCCCGTCACGTCACGTTTCTTTTTATTCAAGACCTAGCAGGGTTTTAGCTGTGGCCAGATATCCGATGTGAAGGAACCACGCAGTCACATAGAAGTGCCAAAAAAAAAGAAAAGTCAATTGCGCAAAGAAAGTGCTGCAAGTTACTAAAAACGAGAACTGTTAAAGAACTACTAAGCAGATTCATTTTAATTAAAACCTGGAAGCCAATTCGCGCAGACTAGGTCATTTCTTAGAACGCCGCTTTCCAGTACACCCCGCTGTCGAAACACTGAAGTGAAAAGAAACATTGCACTAAATACAGAGAAGTTTTGATAAAGCTGTCTAGGCGTGACCGATAACAATTCCACCCTTTCGCTGCGAAAGGAATTGTTCCCTTGTACAATATCCGAAATGCACAACGATCCCTCATAAATTTTAATTCAGTTACTTCACAATTAAAACTAGTCATCTAATTAACCACGCACAGTGTCCCGAGTTACTCCTGTCATAATTAACTTGGCAACTTTACACTTAAAAAAAAAACAAAAGTTACAACTTGTAAATGACGTTGAACCTTTCATCGCTCCAATTACGTCCGTCGGCTGCTAACGTTATTATTTGCACCAAACTCTGAGATCATTAAGGACATCTACTTTTTTTAATGCAACCAGCATAGTTGTGTATCGGAAACCAGAGCTAAAGGCGAGAAGCGGTGTCTTTGCTAAGGAGGCTGTGCTGCTGTCACCAGAGTACCCACGACCAAGTCGTCAGCAAGCAACTTCTCCCTGTCTTTCCTTTCTTTCCCCCCCTTCAAAGCCTCCACTTGTTTGCAGTGCCTGTAATAACTTACCGATGTTTTTTACGTAGTGGGACTCGTCACTGATTACGGTAGGAGTGGATGGCCTGAGCCGCTGCACACGTAGCCGCCACGTCAGCTCTGATGCTGCTGAGCTGTGTAAAATGTCGGCGAGGTCCTCGGCGCCTCTGACAAAACACGAAGATCTACGGGGGGAAAAAAAAAATCAACCCACTCAGGGGCGGGATTACAGCAGACGAGCGGGTGGGAGGGACAAAGTACAGAAGTCGGCCTGCAAATGCGGTGCTAAAAAGAGGGTTACAAGGAGGCGGCGAGCTCCGGCGTTTCTGGCCGCGTCGCTGCGGACAGCCTCGGGCTGCGTTCTGCGCGCGAGGCGGGCGATTCAAATCGGGCCGGACGGGAAAACAAGCGCGGCGAAAGAAAACAGCAACAGCCTCGGCGCGCGCTCTCCTGCGGCTCGAGTTCCGAGGGACGCCGCGGTTGCCCGGAGAAATGACGTCCTGGGGTTCCCTCTGCTGTAGGCGTTTGCCCGGCTGGTTCATGCATCGCTTTACATGCACACAGTGTTGTGAATCCGGTAGCACGAAAACGGGCATTTTTAGTTTATTTCACATTCATCTTTTTGGCGCCGCTTGTGTTTTGCCCCGTCTTTCCCTCCCGCACACAGAAAACACAATGTAGTTCTTGTGTTTTATGCAGGGTGACGACTTCTGAACCGCGTTATATATTTAAATCATGCGATAAAACAAGACCAGTATTCCAGCTAATAATGAAAGCTAGACGTATCAGGTAACCCCAAGTACAAAATAAGTTGCAAGGACCTAAAGCGATTGATGAAGTGGGTTTAAGTTTTCAGTCGCACTCAATTGTGTCATCCATAAGAAAGGATGCGGGGCGATGAAGCAACGAGAAAGCCCATCAGTGTATATGGAGGATATATTTTGAGAAAGTATAGAATGCTGAATATGGTAACTTGTGCTAACACCTGTCCTCAGAAACATGTCTAACACAGGCACGGCGGAGGAAGGTTTAGTAATGAAATGAGGAATTCAGGAAAACCAGTCCTTCAAACTCAGAATGATATTAACCATCAACCCAGAAAAGAACCACCAGTAAAACATGGAAATTAAGCAGGAGAGATAGTGGGACTGAAGCACTCATTTGTAATCTTATCCTTTGATTATTAGGTGTTTCATTGAGTTTCTGTTTCGTAGTTGTGTAAATTACTTTGACACTCCTTACTCCAACATTTATTCAAACATCATACAGCTATTAAATAATTAAATATGATGTTTACACCATGTTGATAATGTCTTTGCCATAACCTGGCTGTTGCAGCTGATGTATGAAATGAAATTCAGTAAGTGGTTGTCCACGACATTTCTTTTGGTGAGGTTACACAATTTTGTGGCTTGGACAGCTGTATTAACACAGGAAATTAAATATATCACGTAAGGAAGGAAATGCAGTGGGTGGCACATACTGTACATACTAAATATTAAGATATTAAAGTAATTCAAGTTCAACTGAACTGGAAGTGTTGTTTTTTACAACTTTCAGCCAAATTTGATTTTAAACCATGCCTTGGGATCTTATTTAACCTTCTTGCCCAGTCTGGACTGCTGCTTGTTTGCTTCATAACTTTATAGCTGTGGCACCTGAATGCATAATACCACATAATCAGTATGTCCAACTGAGCGTGGGTCAATGATGATTTCTGTTACTATTTATATCACTGAACCCAAGACATTTGTTTAACCTCAGGTAAACCTCTATTATTTTAATATCTTTAATTGCTATTTTTTCTTTATAGAAACTTTGTATATGTAATATGTCTGCAATAGATATTATCTGTACATATATATTATGAAATTAGTTCAGGTGGGTTGCTGCGTCAGCATGCGTAGGCTGCAAAGGAAGTCAGGTGTGCGAAGAAGGCTCCACAGCCAAAACGCTGTGTTTTCTTGCTTCTCTTTTCAGCATGGAATAAACGTATTGTTCCTTATTATGAAAGTGTACATAAAAGCTATACGTATGCTTGTAAAATAATAAATTAACTTGGAATATTCAATTCTAGTGACATCTAGTGGCTAGAAAATAGTTTTTAGTGCTGTTTTCATCCTAATTTAGAAGTGGTCAAAAGTACCACTGCTACTACTAATAATTGCTTACACTTATAAAGTGCTTTTCTGGGCACTCCACTCAAAGCGCTTTACAGGTAATGGGCACTACCCTCCACCACCACCAAGGTGCAGCCTGACCTGGATGATGCAACGGCAGCCATAGTGCGCCAGGAAGCTCACACCACATCAGCCATCAGTAGGGAGTAGAGCAGAGTGATGAAGCCAGTTTAAAGATGGGGATTATGAGGAGGCCATGATTGGTAAAGGCCAATGTGAAATTTGACCAGGATGCCGGGGTAACAATCCTATTCTTTTCGAGAAACAGCCTGGGATTTTTAATGACCACGTAGAGTTAGGACTTTCGTTTTGCATCTCATCCGAAGGACAGCACCTTTTTACAGTAAAGTGTCCCTGTCACTGTACTAGGGCTAGGACCCACACAGACCACAGAGTAAGCGCCCCCTACTGGCCCTACTACCACCAATTCCAGCAGCAGCAAGTACATACAGTGTTACACCGTTTAAGATTTTGTACACAACCTAAAATTGAATTTTCCAGGTAATTTAGGATAAGGCAAAAGTGTTCTGTTTACTTTTGGTACTTAATTATATACTCCCAAGTTCAGTGATCACATATAAATTGGTTAGTAACAGAAAGTAAGAGAAATAAGGCCTGGTAAATCACTGTTAATATAGTATCTTTTTAATGCATCTGATGCAACCTGCACGTGTTCTTAACAGGCGAATACAAATATCACATATCGCAGTGAACAACCACCACATACTGTATCTGTATGTACCACACATACCAACACTACAAAAAGTGTTGTTTTGTTCATAAATGACCATGCAGTGTGCAATTCAGCAATACAGAGTATGAACATGTTTATCTTTATCTGTACAATTCCTTTGATCAAAGGTACAATTAATCAAACAATATTATACTCACTATCGCTTGTAGGCATAAAATAATGTGGCTAACTAAAATCAGAGAAGGTATAACTATTTATTTGTAGCAGCTTGCACAATGCAGATTTATCTTTTCCTCTGTACAGATGATCAGTTATTTAAATATTCAATTCAGCATATCAAACGCATTGTCACAAAAATACATTCTTTGGAACTTGCTTCATTTCCAAAAGCTCGGTAAAGGGAGAAAGAGACACTTTCAAAACACAGCCACAAGCTAGTTTCTGTAGTCAAAAACTCTTAGCCTATTTTAACTTAAACATTTGTTTGTGAACTGGGTTTTATTCGTTTCATTAAAAAAAACCCAGCAAGAACAAAATAATAACAAAGTGGAATAATACAACAATACTACCCCACTCCAAGCCTGTGACCAAAGGACTCACACTCTCCATGTGACATAATCAGCGCCATCATTCCAGTCCTCAGCAGTCCCAACTCAACACCTCCACCTGACAAACTGCACGGGGAGTGCAGGGAACATCCTTGTTTAGAATAGTACCTAAAGAACAAGAAACCTGTTTCCTAAACACAACCACAACAGGAGATTTCCAAAACATATAAAAGGGTACTGACAACACCCTCCCCCCCATATAAAGTGTACACAGGCCAGACTTATATTGTCCCAACATGTATCTTCGGAAGGTAAGATGGCCTTATTCACTTGTCAGAAGATTTTTTCTAGTTTTGTAGCAATGCATGTGGACTGCAACTATCCTCTGCGCTTCTCAATTATGTGGTCATTTCCAACAGCTTCTTTGACAAAGTTCAGAGATAAGGTTTGTGGGATGCCGACTCTTATGGCCTCACAAAGACCAGTAAGGTATTTTGCAGCCTGCTGCTTTTCACAATCCATCTGTTTGGACTTTTAAGTGATTTATCTTTAGCCAATCTAAAACATTGCCCTCCAAAGCTATGATTCGTTCTCCATTGTCTTGGCATGTCTAAGAGAACCGTATGTATGCCATGCAAACATGGCTTAGGAGTAGCCAGTGAGCTTTTAAAATGCAGAGATTGAGTGATTCAGGCAGAAGGGTCTGCTTTGCACATCATTCTCCATCATTCTCCATTGTCACCAACAGCCATCTGAACTGAATTTTCTGAAAACCTCATTTGTCGCCAGATTTGGTGGTGCATGGAGACTATGTTGCTGTTTGTGACATCACCCTGACATGTAAGTGTGGTTGTTGCTTTTTAAGTTAAAAGACTAACAAGAAAAAGTGGAGCTGTGTGTTTGACTATAATAGTTTTAGTGAACTAAAATAATTAGTCTTTCATCTGAAACTTTAAACCATTTGGATATTGAATATATCATATTATATTTTATTAGAGAGGTGTCCAAGCCTGGTCCTGGAGAGTCACAATTCAGTCAATTTTATGGGTCACTCTCACCTCATCCGTTTGTAACGACACAAAACACGTGAGTTTTAATCAGTTTAGCAAAATTATTGGTTCAGTTAAGAAAGGAATGGTCAACTCTAATATTGAGAGCTAGAGGGTGTTTTCATTTCATATCACATGCTTAAGTGACCACAAAAAAACTGATCCCAATGTGTATAAATCCATTGGTTAAGGGATCTGGAATTGGCTCTCCAATAGCAGCTTGGTAATCTCTGCTCTATTGATTAAGACACTACTACAGTACCTCCATGTGACTTTCTTATCATACAGCATTCAGTGCTTACAAAGGTTTATAATTAACTTAATTGTTTCTACAATCTATTTAACCCTAGGTTATAAAGTACTTATGCAGATAGTTTACTTAATTGTCTTACAATAGTACTGGCATTTGCTCTTATTGGAGATATACAGTAGGTGTGCTGTGCATATTGAGTAAGTAAAAAAAGTTAATGTAAGCAACGAGATTTTGTATATCTAGACATATACAATATGTCAGCTTGTTATTAATTTATTAGCTCTCTGAAGCTTAATCAAAACAATCAATGAACACTGAGCAAAATGTCACTTTAGCCTTTAACTTGAGAGGCTGTGGTCCTCCCCCCAGGAAAGAACTTTGACGGTATGCTTAATTGGATATGAAGAAAGTTAAACTATATTTTTGAAGTTATAAAAGGAGGAGATAAGTTAAAGGTATTAAAGTTATATATTGAAACAAACTCCTAAGCATCAGTAAGCCGTAAATCATCACATATATTTAAAGTGATTTGTATAGTTGATACGACATTATCAATCCTATTTGTAGTTCTGGAAATGTGATATTCTGAATGCTTGCATGTTTTGCCTGATAATATTATCTGGGCACGGAAGATGATAAAACGAAACAGTAAAGGGAATTCGTGGGTTTTGGGTAGAAGTTGCTAAAAATCTGGGCTAACGATATCACATATCTGTGTTTCTCCGTCACTGGTTTTAAACCGTTTGTGGTTCCTTAAAAACTGAACTTGTTTTGAAGTGCAGAAACGCAAGGCTGTAGTAACTCTTCCCAGCCAGATTTATTTACATTTATCGAGATCAAAAGTTTACGTTTATATGGTTTTGTGTGTACTAAAGAAGGAGGGGTCATCTTGCGGTTACCTTTTCAAAAAGTCGAATGAAACGATTAGTCGTTTTGATCTTACATGAGCAAAGACAAACTAATCTTAATTTTACAAATAGGTGTCGAATAACGAACACTAGCCTGGCCTACCAGTAACAGTCGTATCGTAAGGCACCATTACTACGGTAACTTTGTAACGTAATCTTACTCTCTGGACTGTAATAACCTCCAAATCTCAGCCAAGACGAGTTATTTTTAAAGTTTGTGATGTTAGACCTTTCTGGGCACCCATAGCATCGCCGACACCATGAGAATTCAAGAAATAGGGATGACAGAATAGAGTGGTATATTATTTAAATTTATATTAAGTTCCTTTTGCATAGATCTTAACTTCAGCTATGATATTAATTAATGTATGTTAATTTGTTTGTGTAATTACTTAGCAATAGCGTAGAGACTGTGAGGGAAAAGACTATTGTTCTGCTCGATGTGCCCTCCAGCTGACGTCTTGGTAGTTTCCATGAGGCAGGTTAATGGAAGAGGTCTAAGTGAAAGAGATCAAGCCTGTGACAGCAGATGAACTTAAGTTTTTAAAAATATATTCAGTGACATTGGCCAGAGGTAATTATATTTTCAGTCATTTCCACGGTGTTTCCGCAGACGTTTCTGTTGATCATGATAAACGCGCTAAGCAAAGCTGTCTATTTAATGGAAATGATAGGAAAACACACAGTATGTACTGCTTTGGTCGTGTCGCTACAGCCTGTGTTGGATCTTGCCTTCCTTAGTCATTTTCCGTTCTTTCGCTTTTGTTATTGATGCGATTGGTAATTAGTAACTGCTTTTTTGTACTCTTATTTCTTAAAAGGCATAAAAATCCCTCCCCTCGAGTCCCAATCATTCGAGCCCTATTTTGTAATTATTATAAAGAAGAAACATTGAGTCGGTAGGCCCAAATGTTAGTTGATGAGAATGGACTATGACAATGCTTTTCGTATAGTTTAATTAATGTTGTTATGCCTTTTCCTGAATGATTATATCCTTGTTTAACAAATAGGCCTCCACAGTTTACGGGACATTGTGTTGAATCCTGACAGTTGAAAGTTAATAATATTGCTCATTGAAAACAAGGCGGTACCGTTGTACTGTTGGTAGACAGGCTCATTTGTTCTTGATGATTAAAAACAACCAAAGTAACAATTTAGCTTCATGTGATTTTATGTATTGTTCAATTTACGTGCCTCTACTTTGATTATTTTTAATTAGTTAAATTTGTAATGTTTCCTTTGTTTTCTCGTTATATTACGCTGTCAAATTAGACTTTCTTTCGCAGCTATTTTCTATCTAACATTACGAAAAACATTGTATTGTTTAGACATTCAGCTATTTTTCTTGGCTGATGTTTAAGATAAGCAATTAATGCTTGCTATCGAATTTTCTCTACGACATTTTGTAGGCCCTTGTCTCAAAAAGGATATACAAGTCAGCCTTAGTTGTGTATTTATAAGTTTAGTTAACCTACCAAAGTGTGACAACAGCAGTAAATTTGACAATTAGGGGCTTTATGAAATATGCACTACAATGAGCCAGAAACAGTTTAAACTGCAATATTTAAAAACTATACACTTTATAAATAAACATTTAGTTATTCTAGCAAGCTGTGACTTGTTTATGAGAAGCAAAAGCTTCTGAATGGTTAGCTTGCTGTAACAGACAGTCCAATGATTTGTAAAAAAAAATTCCACCTGTGGGGACATAGAACTTATTCTCAGCTCTCATAATGTCATCATTCAAATTGATAAAAAATGAGTGTACAATAATACCTTTGAGCAAAAGCTTAATTCTGGCTCAGAAATAATTATTTAACATAGGAATAATTATTACAGATGTTATATATATATATTCTACAATAACATTCATTCTTTTGAAAAGGACTGTCAGCATAGCTTAATTCTTTACAGTTCTATAGCCTATAGTGACCTGTGGATGTCCTGTGACATGCAGTTACAAAATAACTAATTTTCTGTCATTTTTTGACAGGTGAGTGATGTTTATTAAGGGGTAGATAAATGTCAAATCTGCATCTAGAAGATTCCTTGGAACTGTCAACTATACAATCAGTAACTAGTAATAAGGAAACATTGTACAGTTTTTTTTTCTTGTGAAGTTGAAAAAGCAATAATTATTGCATTAGGGATCTTTTGTTACCTTTGTTTGAATGTATAATCAGCGGTTTCAAGCTTTCTTACAGATGCAAGTTTGACAGTTCCTCCCTCTTAATAGTACAAATTCTTTGCAGCAAACAGATGTATATCCATGTGACTGTTCAACGTAATATTCTTCTCCATGGAGCTAATAAGCGATGTGACTTGCAAAGCAGTTCATGATCTCTTTCTTGTGCAAGCTCACCGATTATTGTCGACAAGTCTTGTATTTGTGGAGTAAGTACTTTCAGGAGGAGTAAAAAATATGGAATGTAGGTATGTGTTTAGTATATCCGAAGCATTAGCCATTGCGGTGAAACTTAAAGAAAATCTATCTTATAATGTGTTGTTTTTTGTCACATTGAGAGAACTGGAGTTATATCTCATGGAACAAAGAGCTTTTAGATGCGAATGCCCATCTGTCCATATACTCGCTGGGGTGGAGTCTCTTTGAAAAGACAGTTATTTGGGTTGTGGAGGAAGAGATGAACGTGCCAACAAAAACTCAATGGTGATTCGGACTTGGAGCCAGTAAACGAGAGTGAGGAGGAGTGAGAGACCAAGCGCCAAAAATATAAGAAGGCAGAGATAAGAGAAATACATACTTTTCACATCTGTGGATTTTATTTTAAAAAGTAAAGTTTTTTTTTTTTACTTTGTCGGCTACCTCTGCTGTATTACAAATTGGCTGACAGGGCACAAGAATATATCGATCCTGACATTGAATTAGTTTAGATGCACTTTGGGTGATAGAATACTGCAAGATTACCGCAGCTGTGCTGGATAATTGAGCGCAGTTTAGTAAGAGGCAAATGGAATAAAATAAAGGCAACAATTAAACAAGCCAAAAACACACCTTATCTGCCAAGATTCTGCCAGACCAGAAACAATTGCATAGTTTTTTTAAGAGTGCAGTGTATTTCCTTATTATAAATGGGGGTGTTACCCCATTATACAGTCTGGAATATTTCATAGAGCAATATACACGTACCAGTTCCTCCACCTTTTCAAAATGATCTTTTTGCCTTTGGTGGGGAATATAGATTTAAAGCTTTTATTGTTATGGCCTGCTTTAAAATTCTGTATCATTCTCCGAGGCAGGCAAATTTATCATCGTAGCAGGACATGGCAGTCGGACAGCTCTCTTTCTCAGTGCGGTGAGCATTTCTGCTCAAGGCTGTTGTGTCACGTTGCTCTGGAAGAACGATACCCACCGAGAATCATACTCTTCCAGTCTTTCTGAACCCAGTTTCCCCAGGATTCGCTTTATTTGTCAAAAACGGATCTGAAAAATAAAGGAATCTTGCAGGATGGAACGGCCTGTTGAAAAATGTGCCCCTTTTTTGTCTTTCTCTCTTCAGCTTTGACACGTGAGCTATACGATGTCCTTGAAGCCCCGGGTGGTGGATTTTGACGAAACATGGAACAAACTTCTGACAACAATCAAGGCAGTAGTGATGCTTGACTACGTGGAGAGGGCAACATGGAACGACCGCTTCTCGTATCCTAAACCCATCTCTATTTTTCGGTTTTGAAAAAGTCAGGGTGTCCTAAACTACTGCTTTTGCCGACAGAATGAGGCATCATTCTGTTTAACATTGTGAAAACAATACGTGACTCAATATCTAATACCGTTACATGTATGGGTATGGCTGTGTGCTTCTTTAAGCAAAAAATAATGTCAGGTTACTTAAAATCCAAGTGTATTTAAACCTTTTAGTATATTACAGATTGTTTCCTACATGAGTACCTTTAGTTTTCTATTCTTAAAGTTTTATGCATTATTTCTATCGTTTGTATATATATTCGTAAATATACTTTTTTCTACCATGGCTTTTATTTATCTCAGACTTTAAGCATTTTATGTGTTGACACCTTAATAGCTTCATTAGTGACATTTATGCTTTGTGTGTTGCCTACCCAGAACCTCTGGGTGAAAGACTGTACACAGAAACAAAAGTATTTCTGGAAAACCATGTTCGACTCTTGTATAAGGTAGGTTCTTTTTACACCATTATGCCTGTTTTTCAAATGCAGATGAGCTTCATGTTTTCTTACTGACATATAACTATAATTTGTATGCTGTATGGAGGCAGTTTAGATTCTGGATTTGTGTGTTTTCCTTATGTTTGTGGTGTTGTCCTCCCCCACTCCAAGTACTTGTCAGCTAGAAGTGTCTCACATTTCGGTGCCTCGCTTGTCTCTGTGTGCGTGTTTGTGTATGAGTCCTACTATGAACTGGGATCCCATCCATCGTGTCGTCCTGCCTTGTGCTCTGTGCTGCTGGGATATGATCTGGATTTGCTGAGACTCTTGCCGATAACATCCTGGTCATGGATGAAATGAAATGTCTGAATAACTGGAAGTAAAGTTATGGTCATTTTTAGGAAGGAGAAAGAAGCAAGAATCTGAAGATGAAAAACATAGGTTTCATAAAAACAACTAAAAAACCTTTCTTCGTGAGGTGGTGATATGATGCTTACATAATTAAGAGAATCTTTTATTTTTCCAGAAAGTTCTAGAGTCAGAAGAAAAAGTTTTAGTGATGTACCACAGATACTGGGAGGAGTACAGTAAGGGAGCTGACTACATGGACTGCTTATACAGGTAACAGTCTCAAAGAGGCACATCATCATAGATTTCTTTTGAATTAGACACACTACTGTGGCTTTCAGAATTATGTGACCTTTTATACAGGATGGGTTTTTCTGTAAGGTGTCAGAGTCGGCAACAGGGATGAAAGAGACCATGACAAGCACCCTAGTTAGATCAACACTAGATTGGTACTCTTGTTGCCTTTTCCCACTGGGGATCTGGTCCTAAGTCATTTAACATACCTTTGTGTTCACTGGTCACAAAACAAAGTAATCCACAATTTCTTTTCTGAAGATGTAAATTTGAGTCTCAGGTCACGCTAATAATAAAATAGTTTTTTTCAAGTAAGCATTTTAAGATCTCAGCATTAGTATAGCAATGCGTACAATTAACCACTTTTTCCTGCTATCCTGAAAGTTATCTTTCATTATTCAGGGCTAAGATAATATTAACACAGCTCTTAGCTGCTTGCTGTTCCCTAGGTCCCTGTGCCTTTAAGCAGTTAACAGGACATCCCCAACTTAAGGTATCATTTTCACTGGGGTGTCCCTAAGGGAGTGCCAGCAAAGATCATCACAGTTCATTATACAGTGCCTATAGACAATCTCCACACCCTTTCCAAAGTAACAGGTTTTGTGGCCTAACAGCCTGAAGTCAAGATACGTTAAATCAGAAATTATGTTAACTTAAATGTTCACACATACATTATGTACACATTGCAGCACACAACCTCCAAGTGAAAAAACAAAGGTTTAAGCATTCTGAAAAATAATTATTAGTGAAAACCCAGAAAAGGGGAGTTTGATAAGTGTACATAACACTGAATTAGTACTTGTGGGAAGAACTTTTGCTTGAATTACAACCATAGTTTTGTTTGGGTAGGTCTGTACCAATGCAGGACACAGAGATTTAGTAATGTTTGCCCATTCCACTGAACAGAACTGTTCAAGCTCTGTCCATTGCGAGGGGCTGCAACCTGCGGATCTGACTGGGACAATAGAGGACCTTTACCTTTTTGTTTTCTGAGAAACTCCGCTGTTCCCTTGGTTGTGTGTTTTAGGTTTCTGCTTTCTTGCAGAAGTCACCACATTTTCCTCAGCACTTTTCTGTACTTTGCTCCATCCGTTTTCCCTTCTATCCTGACACGTGTCCCTTCTATCCTGCTGATGAGAAACATCCAGTAACGTGAGACTGCCACTGCCATTCTCTTACAGTGGGGAAGATGTTCTTTGGATAATGTCCCGTGTTGGTTGTGCGCCATGTAAAAAACTTTGCATTTAGGCCAAAAGTTCCCTTTTAGTTTTATCTGACCCCATGTTTGCATTATCCCTTTGTTGCTGTTTTTGTCAGTAATGGCTCCTTGCTTGCCCTTCTGCCATACACACCAGTTCTGTGAGGTGAGGTGCTTGGGGTATTGTGGTTACACCCACACTTTGACCAGTCATGGCTATAAAAGCCTGTAGCTCTTTGAATGTTTTCCTCGACCTCTAGGTAGCCTGGCTGATCAGTCTCCTTCATGCTTCGTCATCCAGTTTGGATGGACAACCTGATCAGGATGGGGTCTCAGTTGTGCCACACACCTTCCACTTCTTCGTGATCATGCACTAAAACACATTTAAGGTTTTTGGAATATTTTCGTATCCATTTCCTGCTCTGTGCCTTTTCATAACTTCATCCCCAAGGTCTTTTGATGGCTCCTTCTTGCCTATCATTGACTCTTTTCTTTGAGATGTGACTTTGAGACCTACAGTACTGCAGCAGCTAATTTCATTCTGAAACCATCAGATTTATGGCAGTTGAACACAGCTGGAGGCCAGTTAACTTATTGTATGATTTGGAAGCCATTTGGTTACTTACAATTGCTATTACTAAGTGGTGTGTACACTTATCCAGCCCTAGTTTTTTCTTTTCTTTTTATGTGTAATAACATTTCTGATTGTTTGAGCATTTGGTTTTCACTTGGAAGTCGTGTGTAAATAAAGATAAAATAACTTCTGATTAAATGTGTCTCAACTTCATGCTGTTAGGCCACACAATTACTTTGGAAAGTTACTTTTGGAAGTAACTAGTTTACAACTAGAAAGAAACTGCTAGAAAGGAACTTCTCTTTTACAAAGTTACTTTGGAAAGGGTGTGTAGACTTTCTATAGTACTGCAAAATTCATGTCACAATGAATTGTTTTGAACAGGGACCCCGAAGTTCTTCAAATGCAGATTTCTGAAAAATCCAAGCTATGTTGCAAAAAGGGTAACTGTTCTAAAGAAGTATAGATGCATCACATACACAATCAATCAACTCTGAAATAGTAGAAAAATCCAGACAGCTATAGACTGGCACAGAGTTGTATAAAACTCAAAGCGGGCAGACAGATTCTGAAACAGTTTGGTGTTATCTGGTATTCCAGATAACCGTAGTATATTGTAATGTGTAAGTAATGGATATGATGCAAACTATTTATGTATATTGTACTGTTCGATTTTTGTTTTTCTCACACAGGTACCTCAACACACAGTTTATTAAAAAGAACAAACTGACCGAAGCAGATTTGCAGTATGGCTATGGTGGAGTTGACATGAATGAACCACTAATGGAAATTGGAGAGGTAAGACCACATGAAATTGTAGACACATAAATATTCTAGGATACATTTAAATATAATAAAATACATTTTTGTGTTTTCCTGTTTGAAAATATCCGCAACTGTTTACACTATCAATTATATATGCATTAAAATGCATTATATCACTAGGGTCTTCTTTTTCTGTGTTATTTATTCTTCTTCTCTTCCTTCTGGTTTTTTTTTCAGATGTTTACTGTGGATGAAAAAGCCTTTGTTAAAAATAGCCTATACTGAATAAAAGCCATGTGATGGGCATTTTGGGAAATCCTGAATGCTATTTGTGTGTTTTAGAACATTTATATTTATATTTATATT